CTGCCGAAACAAGCCAACCAGTCCAGAATTGCCAAAGCCATAACAAGAAAACCACCCACAGCTAAAGATTTGAAGATCAAAGCAACCCACAAAGACTTTCGACTGTTGTTCTTACCATGAACAGTAGCTCGACAGTCCCAAGCAACAAATAGACACTCAAAATCAAACCAAAGACCTTCAAATCACACAAACAGCCAGCCTATACTCTTAATCGCACCCTTTAGACTCGATTGGAAACAAGTAATTCGAGAAAGACAGTCCCAATTCACAGATCGAAAAATAGAGCCGAGATTTTTGAAAAATCATTCAAAAATTAGAAAACCCTATTCGATGACCTCCAAATCAAAAACAAAGCAGCATACCATTGGAAAGCCCATGAAGAATCGAATACTGTAGTACTCTCCTCGCTCCAGTTTGATGACGTCAGCAATGACAGCTTGATGATGTTAGCCCTAGCTTGATGATGTCAGCCCTAGTTCAGAAGAGGATGAAGCATCTGGTGTGTTCTTAAAAAAAAAATTAAGAATGCTAAGATCAAACCATGCTCTGATACCATGATAAAATTGATCAATGAGAATAGAGAAGAGAAAGAGAAAGAGAGAATATATTATTCATAAAGAAGTCTGTAATACACAGCTTAACCCAGAAATACACAAAGTAACCCTTATATAGTAGGGCAACACAACATAAAGAAAATGCCTAAACTGCCCTTATTATGAATACTCTAACAACTAGTAGATATGGTTAACTAAATTTTCTGTTCATGCTTTATCTTCAAATGTCGGCATTCATGAGTTTAATTAATATAAATTTTCAATTTATGAATGTGATTAATATTCTTGAATTATGAACTTACATGGCTACAAATAAGTATCAATACAGGTATGCCCTGAAGGAATACAAGATATATAGTGGCTTGGCTAACCCCTTAGCCTACATTCACTCTTCCGGTCCCCATGGTTGAACCTTGCTCCACTAGTTTGGGTTTATAGGCTAACCCTAAAACAATATGTTTCACAAATGGTCAAACGACTAGCCAACCTAGACGGACTTTTATTTATGGTTTCCTCCAAGTTGTCCTAGAGATTCTTGCCAACCTACCTAATGAATACTTCACAAGGACACCACTAGGATTTGGTGAAGTTTCTTTGTCTGGCTAACAAGAACCATCGGTGACACATAATCACTACAAATGGGCTTTTCAAAGGCTCCTAAACCTCCTAACATCACTATGCCAATCCAAGATAATATAGGTTGACCTGGAACTAATCCTCCTGATCAATAATTTTCACGAGAACGTATAGATTCACCTCGATCCCAATATCTCAAAGTTTGTAGGCTCCAGTGTGCGGTAATCAATGTGTTGTAGAAATTTGCTCTTCTTATGACTCAAGCTTGAGATCAATGTTGGCGGTGAGGAAGGGATGTATATTCACTGAAAGCTCCCCAAAATTATAGTAAGGTACTAACAATGTAATGTTTTTGTCTTGACGTTACTATTTTTTGTGCTCTAAGAACTCAATCAATTGAATTATCTTCTTTGCTCCTATACTTTTGGACTTTTGCTATTCCGAAGTGTTCTTCTTTCCTTTTTTTTTTCTCCTTTTCGTTTGTCGGATGTCTCTGAGAAAGGGGATAATTAAGTACTACAGTTCGGTGGATGAACTTTGGCTCTCAAAAACTTGCCCAGTGAAAACATTTGTGGGTATTTCTAATAGTCTTTGTAATTGTTGGCAATCTTTTTTTCAAAATCTGACAGGGCTAGTCGACTACCATTAGGACATTGTTGACTTCACCTGACCTAATTGGCGAGGCCCAAAACATGTCTAGTTGATGTGTTGGATTGCGCCTTACCCTCAAGTGGGCGCCCTAAGTGATGTTGAACAGCTGGTTACTTGGTGCGGGAGGATCGTCGAGCCTTCAAAGTACAACGGAAGGCCAAAAAGTAATAGTATAGGCAAAATGAGTTAGACTCAATTCCGTGGGACCAATGCTATTTGATCCGAATCAGGCTAACAATCAAAACTCATTGCTTCGCCATAAGCTCCTTTAGTTTTGGGCAGAATTCCATCGTTTAAGCTTTTAAATCCCCTTTTTTGTTGTTTTAGGAAAAAGTTCAAAAATTAATATTAAATCATAGGAGATTCTGAATTTAGTATCATAAGTTTTGTTAAACTCTAGTCGACATGTGCTTTTATGTTAATTCATTAGATTGCAATTTCTCATGTTTGGTCAAATTTGTATAATTAAGGATTTTGCTTCCATTATTGGGATGATTAGGTTTTGGTCATTCCTGCATGTATGGCCCCATGTGATACGGGTTATTCATTCAATAATGCAGTATTTTTAGAGGTTGTCTTTCCTTTCTTTGTTGATTTAGAGTGTGTCTATGTTCTTACATCTAAAAACGGTGATTTCTTTGTGTTTTTCGTTTACCGCTGCATCACTAAGCCTCTAGACACTTGTCCCTTACTTCTTGAAGTGTGTTGATGGTGACGATTTGCCTCATGCTTGCTTGGTAGATCTTCTGTGAGATTGTCCTCCAGAATAAAGTCTTCAAGTCTCCAAGGCTCGTATCTGCTCTTCCATTGACGTTGGCGACTATTTCCAGTTTTGAGTTACGATTTAAGTTATGAAATGCTGTCAATCCTAAAGTCCTAGATCGAAAAACTACATTCAGATAATAATCCCTGGGCCACAACCATGGTTTCATTGATGATTGGGTCATTGAATAATATAGTTTACATTTCAGTTTCATCTGCATTATACCACCATTGCTTAAATCCATGCCATAGTACTATGATAAATAATATAAACTGTATGCCATGATAAATTAGTGATCGATAGTTATGATCCTATGTATTGCATGAGAAACCACATCCAGCACATTGAGAAGCCTTAAGGATGCTAGTGAGAAAATCCTTTTAAAGTTAAATCACAGAGAAACTTGATGTAGATGTATTATTTCAAAGAGAATACCGAATTGAACATCAAGTTTAAGGTTAATTCTTTTGGTTGGAAATGGAATACATTCTGTTATACGAGGTTGTGGCAGATTTCATCTACAACATCAGATTTCATTATCTTACTGCAATTATAAAATTCATTTGGATCTGTGATTTGAGTTTCTCAATTCCAGCTAGAATGCAGTTAATATAATACATTTACCTGTCATTGAGATCCCAGAAATCTGGGAATTGAACTTAGTTTATGGATATCTAGGAAACCGAGTTTCACATTGTAGTAGAATTTGTCTGGTGCACATGAAAAAACAAATTCAGACTCTGTAACCCTATGCAAAGTCTAAAAGTAATATTTGCTTTTCTTAAAGTACAACCAGAGCAATGTCGATTAGAACTAACCTATGGAACCTAGATTACCTTTCATGTTAACAGCCATGGATAGACTGAAGAGCATAGCATGCAGGTAAACATCAACTTTATGAGGTATTAACTTAAAGGGAAAATTTTAAAAAAATACTAGTGCAAATCTTTGCAGTTAGTTCATTATCTGTTGGTTTCCTAGCTTTATAAATATGCTTAGTCTCCGAACTAGTTCATACACATCACCTCTCCAATGGCTATGTCCTGAAATCTAAAGGGAAAATGGTAGAGTGGGATTCCAATACTACAAAAATTGGTTAGGAAAGAACTACTACGAATATAGCCCTCCATGCATAAGGCTCTGGCCACTGCAGAATTTAGGAAGGGTTAGATGTATGCAACCATACCATTGGAGGCGGAGAGGCTATCTCCGCAACACGAATCCATGACACCCAAGTCGCAATGGAGCAATCTTACAACTCACTCCCACGAATACATTCGTTAATGACACGAAAATTATCCCTATATTGGTTAGGAAAAAATTGATCCAAATACATTCAAAAATCAAACTACATCCAATTCCATAAATGTCATTTCCTCTTTGGTAATCACCCTACCCACCCACCCCCCCACCAAAAAAAAAACCAACAAAAAGGCTAATGGAGGATCATACATTTTAGGCAAGTAGTATTTTTCAGTGTCATGGACTGGATACCAACTTGATCTTTAATGTCACATGCACAAAGTGGTTAAGTTCTAGGGTTTGGAGAAAAAGGATTGAGAGAAGAAGAGGAGGAGAGGATATTATGTGAAGGGTTGAGTATGGTAGGTTACATAACTGCATCGCACACTATATATGAATAAGCAGCTTTGCAAAATACTATAACACCCCCTATACTAAAAATGTAGCATAAAATAACCTGATAACAGTATTTCTATTATATTCTTAAAAGCATCAGAATGCGTTGAACCTTTCTATGTGGAGGATCTCGACGCAGGGATTGAGCACAAGATATATCTAGCACAAAAGTTCTATATGGTAATCATAGCTTTTGGATTGACTGGACCATGGAAGTTAAATTACCAACAAAGTTCATTGGCAACGAAGTGATTGGAATGTACATTGATCTTTCCACTGTTACATTCACCCAAAAGTTAAGTTGTTCGGAATAGATGTCCTCAATAGAGAAGAGGAAAAAATGTTTTTAAGAATTCCATCTCTCTTTGATGTTTCTCCCCCATGCTCACCCAATGGCCCAAACACGCACAAAAGACACCCCATTGATAAGACTGCCTTTTGTATTTATTATTATCCCTTTAGATAGATGAAATTCTGAATTTAATCTTGAACACTATTATACTAATACTGGATGATATTTATTACTTGGTGAAGTAATTTGATGGTTTTTAATTTCAGTTATTTTATTGCTGAGTTCGGTAATTCGCGAACATCAATGTAATTTAAGGAACACAAGAATACAAAAGCTAATTTTAACGATCAAAGAGAGAAAAGTGTGATTGTTGGTTTTGCAAGTTTCAAACGAACAATGATTTCAGGTGTAATAGAGATAAGCAGAGTTAATAAAACATAATGTGACACAAAGTGCAGGGTCCCTTATTCTTTCCCTCCTTGTTATTTTTTAAATTTCTGGTTTACATGAATTTAAAGTGAAGTAAATGCACCAATGCCAACTTGAAGTGACTCAACTTCCAGATTGTCATATATAGAGAAAATCAATGGTTGAACTTCAGAGAAATCTTAGAATGATTATTGTCTAATTTTGTTATTGAAAAGTGAATAGCTTGATATCATTCTGATCTTCTGGCTTCTTCTTCTTCTTCTTCTTCTTCTTCTTCTTCTTGGCAGGTCGCTATGATATTGCACGTGCATTGGAGAAGTGGGGAGGTCTTCATGAAGTCTCCCGTCTTCTGTCGCTTAAGGTGAGGCATCCTAATAGACAGTCGAGCCTTGCGAAAGATAAGAAAATTGATTATATGGCAACTAGAGATGTAAATGGTGAAGAGAAGACACCATCTAAAACTTATGTTTCACAAAATACTGAGCAGTGGCTCATGAAACTAGAGGAATTGGACATAAATTGGACTGAATAAATAGTGATTATTCACTTTTAAAGCTTATTTATACTGCATTGATTCAATGATTAGCCTTGATTTCCCTACTGATAAGCTGACCTGGTGGTCATGTTTTTGTTAAAATTCCAGCATGTGAGGTTACAGATTTCCTCTAGTTTCGTTTTGAAATGGGTGAAATGAAAAAGTGATATGATCAAATTAGTCCGCAAATGTATATGTGATCTACCTACTGTAGCATCTAATATCTTTTCAGGGTGTACTCATTTTATTGCAAACAGAAAATTAAATATGAATACAGCAATGAATTGTTCAAGTTTGAATACGAATCCAATAGAATTTTTAAGGGTTGTGGAAGTGCTTGTTGTATGAGTGGAGTGGCCCCCTGATGGGATATATCGATGTGAACAAAGAGCTTAATTTCATTTTGAATGAGTGAATCGAAACTTTAACGAATCAGTGATTGAATATTAGAATTTCTATGTTTTGATGTGTTTTGTTAATGAATTTTTATTATTTTTTTTTGTCTCCATCTTATTTCTGGAATATTTTCAAAACGTTTTCGTTTTCAAGTTGATTGAAACTGATGATACCAAGATTAAAACCAACATAAAAACCAAGTCCACAATTCAAATAGGGGAATCACTGACCTAAAAGACAGAATGATCGATCTGTTGGCAAGAGTTCAGGTCAATTCAAACCTTAAACCAGCTCGGCCATGATTGGAACTAGCTCAATCATTCTCAAACAAGCTCGACTTATCTAAAGCAAATCAGTTAATAACAAGAGAAGGGATAAAAGAAAAATTATAACATCAGACTTTATCTAGAGATAAATCATCAATGTCATGTCACTGACTTTTATAATGTCATGTCACACATAGGAGAATATAATTTTTAGCGGTTAAACATTTCCTTCCAAAATCATAACAAATTAAAGAACCATCCCATCATTGCTTGAGGACTCTATACCCTAGCGTATATATAAGCAATCATTTATATTGTGTTGGAGTTATAATAGCCTAAGTTATTAGGGTTTATTAGAATTTTTTTCTTTTTTACATTTTTATTCTTATTGACTATATATATGAAACTTCTATACTTAATTTATATCCCCTCACTTACATCTATCTCAAGGTGATATCTGAGCCATACACTAACCCTAACCTTCTCCATCATTCTCACCTTCAGTCGTGGCAGCGAACCAGTTGACAGCAGCTACAAACTAGAGAACTAGAACATACTTCAGCAGCCCAGCCCTCGCCAACCAGAATATACAAACAAGAAAACATTAAACTCACCTTCATCGACCATACCAAAACAAACCAATCCAATATACCTACACCAACATATACCAACTTCGGCCAACACCGATAAACCTACAACAACAAACCTACACCAATACAAACCACCTTCGGCCTCACAGCCACCCAGTCAAACCAATCCTAGCAAGCAACCTCAATATACCTCTGCCCAGCAAACATTAAACCCACACCGACACTATATACCCCACTGTCCACCCTGCTGTGCTGTACACCGACACCGACACCGACACCGACACCGACATCATGAAACCCACAATGACACCATATACCTCTGCCCACACCAACAGCATTAAACCTTAACTACCCAACATTAAAACCTTATTAAACCCAAGTCTACATTAAACCCAGATCACCGACAGGGAAATTGTCTTGCCTCCATGCGCTTTCGCGCGTCGCGCTCTTCGTCGTAGTGCCATCACAACCTTTTTTTCTTACGGTTACAGCTTCTTGGACCTTTTAAGAGGAGTTTGGATCTTCTTTTCTGTTGATCTGCTTTTGATGTAGTAGATTATTTATTTATATTTTTTGAATTTTTGGACACCGTGATCTGATTATTTAGGAGTTTTTTAGACTTTTTGTCACTATTGTTTGACTTGAGTTATATTGTTCTCTTTTATTTTATTCCTCTATTTATCTTAGAGTTTTTTCTGTTAAGGGGGGCACGTATTGTTATTGCTATGACTACTACTGTTGAAACTTTTGTTGTTAGTATTTCCACCTGGAATATACATGTTGGTTCTCGTCAATGTGATTATTATGGCCGACCAGAACATCTCAGGGCTACTTGCTGGAAGCTCTGTCCGGAGCTTAAGCCATCGCCCACCTGGAATGTACCTCCTAGTTCTCATTAGTGTGATTATTGTGACCGATCAGGACATCTCAAAGCTACTTGTTGGAAAATCGATCTGAAGCTTAAGTCACCTCCTCGCAGCCGTACTGCTATTATTGTTCAAGTACCACCATCTACTGTTGTTGCTCCTACTGCTGCTTGTCATTGGCAGAGTGATATAGATGCTATCACTTTCCGATTATATATACTTATGTCCGTCTTGACTTCTCAGGGTATGACTATTGCTACTGCCACCACTACAAGTGTACCTCGTGTCTTTCATGTTTGCGCCAGTCCGTCTCCTCTTTGGATGTTGGACTCGAGTGCAAATGGTCATATAACAAGTGAGACTCATCACTTCACCACTGTTGACGAGCAGTTACATACACGGGTTCAGTTAGCAAATGGAACACATGCCTCTATTGTTAGTAGGGGTACAGTCCGCCTCCCAGATGACTTTACATTATATTCGATTTTTCATACGCCAAAGTTGACCATGAATTTATTATCTTTACATCAATTAGCCAAAAAATTTCACTGTGCGGTTGTGTTTTTATCTAATTTATGTTATTTGCAAGACCTGAGTACCAGGAGGATTATTATCAGGGGACATGAGAGAGATGGACTGTCTTATCTAGGCGATCCACCTTCAGTTTCACTAGTTCCTTCATCGTCATCACTTGCACCTGCTTTTTATTTATTTGTTCCTACCTTGCATGTTAGTATTTTGTCTAGTACTTGTTGTTATAATTTTTCATCACAAATTGTTTAGTTGTTGCATGAACGTCTTGGGCATACAAATTTTAAATATTTATCTATGTTATTTTCTGCTTTGAACAATGTTTATGTTGGTGATAAACTTGACTGTATTATATGTTCTCTATCGAAATATGTTCGGACTAGTTATATTCCTCGTATGCATCAGTCACCCAAGCCATTTGATCTGATACATTCTGATATTTGGGGATCATCTCCTATTACTGCTCTGTCAGGTGCTCGATACTATGTGACATTTATAGATGACCATACCTTTGTACTTGGGTCTACCTTTTGCATAGGAAGTCTGATGTACTCCCTGTTATCACTCAATTTCTCCAGATGATTAAGACAATTCGATGTCATTGTGCGTGATCTTCGTTTGGATAGTGCTAAAGAATATGTGTCTAATGCTTTAGTATCTCACTTTTCCTCTCAGGGTGTCATTCAACAGTTCACTTGTCCATATACTCCTGAGCAAAATGGGATTGCTGAAAGGATAAATAAGAGTCTAATAGGGATGATACGTTGTATGCTTAGAGGTATGGGGTACTAAAATTTTATTGGCATTTTACTGTTTTGACTTCTACCTTTCTGTGTAATCGTACACCGAGTTGTGTTCTTCAGCATAAGGCTCCCTTACAGGTTTTATTCCCTGAGTGGACACTTTTTTCGGTTCTCCTTCGTGTTTTTGGTTGCATATGTTTTGTTCAGGATCGATCTCCTACTCGTCATAAGTTGATGATAAAACGATTCATTGTATCTTTGTGGGCTATTATCATCAGTGTAAGGGGTATCGGTGTTATGATTCTATCAAGCGTCGTATGTATCACAGTCTAGATATTACCTTTCTCGAACATATTCTTTATTTTTCTTTCAGTTCTATGTCTGCCCCTCTAATTGATGATACTCCCTTTAATTTTTCGTTATCACAAGAGTCAAAGTCATTGGTTACTATCACTACAGAGTCCTCAGTCTCTCATCCTCCAGAGCCATTCGTCCCTGTTAGTACAGAGTCACCAGTATCTCTTTCTTTGCAGGTTTATGTTCGTCGCCCTCGCTCTCATCCCCCTGCTGATGTCTCCTCTACCTCAGGCGATGCGGGTAATACTTCTCAGTTCATTGAGCATATTGATGCACTTGTTGTTAGTATTGACGAGATTACAAGTACTGAACCAGTTATTTTCCCTGATGAGACATTGTCAGTAGAGGATGATGATTTAGGGCGTCATTATTTACAACGTGATCGTCATCTAGTTGCTTGTTATGGTTGGACTGTCAAGACTTTATATCCGATCTTTGCTTTTTCTTATGGTGATTTGTCTCCTATATTTCGAGCTTATAGTATGGTTTTATCAGATACACCGATTTCTCGCTCTGTTTTAGAGGCTATGCGGGAGCCCCAGTGGGTTCTTGCCATGCAGACGGAGATGGACGTTCTTGAGCATAATCATACGTGAGATCTTGTCTCTTTACCTTCACGAGTGAAGCCTGTTGGCTATCGTTGGGTTTACACCCTAAATTTTCTTGCGGATGGTATTATTGATCATCACAAGATTAGGCTTGTGGCGAAAGGCTTTACTCAGGGACCAAGTCGTGACTTTGGTGCTACATTTGCCCTTGCGGTAAAATTGACTACTGTTCGGTTAATTATTTCTCTGGCTGTGGAGTACTTTTGGCCTCTTCATCAGTTAGATGTGAAGAATGTATTTCTTCACGGTGATCTAGACGAGATTATTTATATAGATGTACCACTGGGCTTTCGTGGTGAGGGGGAGTATGTTAGGAAGGGGAGTATGCTGGGAAGGTGTGTCAACTGCGTAAGTCTCTCTATGGACTGAAACAGTCTCCACGAGCCTGGTTCTCTCGGTATAGTGATGTAGTTGTACGTTTAGGGTTCACCAAATGTCATTTAGATCATATATGCTTTATTTGACAAAATACTTTTGAGCAGTGTGTCATCCTTTTGGTATATGTGGATGATATTAGTTTTACCGAGGATGATATTTCTGGGATTGCACAGGTCAAGGTAGACCTTGAAAATGCCTTCGATGTGAAGGGTCTTTGATATCTACAATACTTTCTTGGGATTGAGGTTGCTCGTAGCAACAAGGGTATTGTTTTTTTCAGAGGAAGTATGTTTTGGATCTTCTATCGGACACTAGGAAGTTGGGATGCAAACCGACATCATTTCTCATAATTTCAAACTTAAAGTTTACTGCTGAAGGTAAGGAGTTAAGTGATCCAACTATTTATTAGAGGTTGGTAGGTAGACTTATCTACCTAGCCAACACTAGGCCAGACATTTCATTCGCTGTCAGCCGAGTTAGTTAGTTCATACACAAGCCGTGTCAACCTCATCTTGATGCAGTTTATCATATTCTTCGGTACCTCAAGTCTTGTCCTAGACTTGGGTTGTTCTATGCATCAAGATTTCAAACTAGTTTTCTAGCCTGTTATTCAGATTCAGGTTATGGGAGAGCGTGTGACAGTCGATCTACTACGGGCTTCTGTGCTTTTTTAGGGACTCATCTTATCTCTTGGAAGAATAAGAAGCAGTCAGTTGTCTCTCACTTGTCAGTAGAGGCAGAATATCGGGCATTGGCACTTGGCACATATGAGATTATCTGGCTACAATTGATTCTTAACGAGTTGAGATTTTCAGTAACTTTTTCATCTACATTATATTGTGATAATCGATCTGCTATTCAGTTCGCTTCTGACTCTCTATTACACGAGAGGACGAAACATATAAAGATTGATGTTCACTTTCTTCAGGAGAAGGTTAGCAACGGTATTATCACTCCATCGTTTGTGGAGACCAGTGATCAGGTTGCGGATGTTTTCACCAAACCTGTCACTCCCATTCTTCGAGACTCCATTGTCAAGATTGACTTAGTTGACATTGTTGCGTCTAACTTGAGGGGGAGTGTTAGAGTTATAGTAGTCTAGGTTATTAGGGTTTATTAGAGTTTTTTCCCCTTTTACATTTTTATCTTTATTGTGACTTTTATTGACTATATATATGAGAGCTCTACATTTAATTTGTATCTCTTTCACTTACATCTATCTCAAGTCCTTGCAAAGACAGATGAGCAATTGCATACCCAAAAGATGTAACCACTATCTTCTTCTTCAAGTAATACAAATTCTAGGAGTACAAGGCTCAATTATAGTAGATTAACCAAGTTCTTCAATTTGATGAACCATTTCAGTTCTTGATTCTTCTGATTATCGTACATTCACACACACACACACACACACACACACACACATAGCCACAAGTACTACTGAGGAGCTCTTCAATCGTCTTATCTCACACTTCACGGTTCCTAACACCATAAAAAATTATACACCAAAATAAAATTTTGATTCGTACGTAATTTATTTTATCAATGTAGTATCTCTACCTTGCCCATCCCAAACACCACAAAAAATTTGTCTTCAAAAATAACCCTTTACTCAACCAAGACTGTCCCTGTACCTTTCAGTAATGAAGTGCCAATGAGCTTAAGTTTTGAATTTTTAAAATGTCCTTTTCACCCCTAATAGAAAAGATTCAATCTATGTGTTTTTTTGAATAATATGTAGAGCTCCAGTTTTTCCTCTATGGTCTTTTTTTTTATCTTGTGGAAAGTAGTTTGTCCTCGTGAATTCACCAATATTAATTTTAATTTTTTTTTAGTTGGGCTTATACCTTTGAACTGATCCCAAATATTGTTTAAAAGTAGACTCATCGAAGTTGAATACTTTAGTGTCGATTTGATTCATCCTATACGAGTAATTAAGGACCTATTCATCTTAAAACATGACGTAAGAATGAAACTTAAATCAAAAAACTAAACACACCTCTATCAATGAAATGATATGAACTCTGTATCGTCAAACCAAGAAATCATTGCTTGCTTCGTCTACTACGTCATTTGTTATGCTCCTAATTTTTAGAGGTAAGTTGATCGTAACTAATTAAAACTTGATATAAACATAAAAAAATTAAAACTTGATATTTCATGACAAACCATGGGATTATTGACTTTTTATTTACTTATTTTCCCCATAATTTTAGAGATTTACAATTATAAGTTCTCAAAGATTTACAAATATTTTCTCCATGGGACTAAAGCTTGTTTACATACTTTAATACCTCTAAGGGCACATACGGTTTGGGTACAAACAAATGATGAGATTAGGTAATTGGTTCCCATCCACTCTATCCATAAAAATGGTATTAATAAAAGTAATATTTAATTATATCTTTTGTGTAACAAGGTTGAGATAAGATATAAATCTAGAATTATAATTTTAAATTTATGTTTGGATTAAGTAATAGTGTATGATATTAATTTAAAAATAACAAAAAAAAAAAAAAACATTGAGCACAAGAGTTTCTATAATGTGTCACTTTTATACAAAGGTGTGAATCTAAGTTTGAATTGGTAATACAATCATTGTATTTTTAATACTGAACTTGTTAAAAATAATATTACCTATCACATGATATTTATTAATACCTAATATTAGGTGTTAAATGACAATAATGAAACGGGTTGAGATTAATGAGAAATTAATACCGGGTCGTTACAACTCAATCCAAACTTAGTATTACATCGTTACCAAATTAAATTAATTCAATCATGTTTCTTAATACCCATAACAAACATGCCCTAATTCTCATCGGGTTTGCATGCTTTATTACCAAATATGCAAGCAACCTTACAGCTTTAATGCTTTGTTTGGTACAATGAAAAATAAAATGATGAAAAATTTGAGAGATAGATAAAATATCATGTTTGATAAAAAAGGAAAATATGAATGATGAAAAAGTAGATTGATTAGTTTTCTTTCCAACTCACCAAAATCAATCCTTTTAAAATTGTGAGAAAAAGTGTACAAAAAGTTAATTGTGTGAGTTAAATGCATGTTATTTACCTATATATTCTTTAATATATGCATATAACATATTTATTTAATTCATATTATGTATACATTAAATTTATATATAATTATAATAATAAAATATGTATCCATATTTTTTTCATTCTTCCATTTTTCTATCTTACTAAATACAAAAAAAATCAATCATTTCTATTTTTCATCGCACTTATCAAACACAAAGAGAGAATAAATAATTCATTCCCTAAAAGGTAAAAAATGTAGTACTCCCACTTTCTATTCTTTTATTTTTCATCCACCTATCCAAACACACCATAAGACTTTCCAATGGACTTGAAAATCTTGGGCAAAGTTTTGCATCTTTCACCCACGGGAAACACAATCCCTTCTTATCCATTGCCAAGGTTCTACAATTATCAAGGCACCCATGCCAACTAGACTCGTATCTCACACGCACTCTTAAGTTAGACAAAAAATATTACAATTATAAATTTGTTCAAAATAATTTATGTAAGATGATGGCCTCGGTCCAGACTAGGCTTGGATCATAAATGCAAACTAGGTTCATATTAGAGATGTAGACTAAGCTCAACTCAAATATACAGGTCAAACTCATTATAGAATGAAGGAAGCTCAATCGAGTCTGCTTCGTCATCTTAAAAGACTTAGTCCATAACTAATACACGAGAAGATTTCTGTGGGACGTAATTATCGGGTGCACGTCGCTACCTCCATGAAATTGTCTTGGTTGTTATGAGAATGACGTCACCTCCATCTAATGATCTCACCTGTTACAAAAATGATGCCTCAATCTGTTAGAAAATGCTTAAAAATTGTTGGCCCAACCTACGAAAGGGACATCTCACACATCCAAACACTTTACACTCCTTAAGCAATAAAATACTCAGACCATCATAGTCCTTCATACTAGAGTAGGTCACTCTAACCAAACCACTTAATTTGTATTTACTTGTGTTGAATCTCCTTTTTAATTACTACATTAAATACTTGATAGGTGGTGTATAAACACATTTTGTACATCATCACAAAAAATTAAATTTTGTTTTGAAACATTCGAAATATTTTCGTTTTCATGGAAATCGAAACGAATTGTTAATTGAATATCAAAATTTTTATGTTTTATGATGTTTCGAGGTATTTCGGTAAATTTTGAAGTGTTTCGGCATGTGTTCAACACATGTTTTCGAAATGTTTCTGAAACATTATTAAAATATTTCCATTTTCAAACTTACTAATTGAAATAAAATTTTGATCCTTCAACGTATGATTATGCGACTATATTCGAATTGTAGAGGGTGAAGTGCTACAAGGGGAATACTAACATGAGTTACCTTTCATTTCCAAGCTAAGACTATGCACCGAAATGGAAATGAAAGTTTGGTCCTCGCATCTCATTTGACTTCGCTTTCTTTTCATTTTTGGTTTTAACTTAGCAGAGCAAGAGAGGTTGGGTTCTTTGTCAACTGCATGCTTGTTTGAAATGATATCAAGCTTCTTTATGTTGTCATACAAACCAGCACTAAAACTTCTTGAAACAGGGAATCATTCTAAAACTAATTTTTTTTTTAAGGTAAATATAATCAAGTATAATGAATGCACATATTTATAAATGTGCATATATCCATTGACTACACATTTATAAATGAATTGGGCCTAATTTACAGGTGCTTAGAAGCATCCACAACTACATGCTAGTATGGAAATTTCTCCATAGTATTCACATCCACCATTTTCATACAGCAAAGCCAACCACATGCAGCATGAGAGCTGGGTTCCAATGAATGCACAAAACCAAATTGGCCATGATCTAACAAAAGCTGGTCTTAACTTATCTCATCTTTGGTAGTGCTCTTAATTGGGGTTTTTTACTACCAAATCTGAGGTTGACACGTGGTTTCTTAGGCATCTTCACTCCTCTGTGGCGGGGCAGCATTTGCCACCAGTGCTTCTTCTTCTTCACTATGTTCTTACCACCATACTGGCCCTTCTCCAACCAGCCGATTCCATCTTTTGAAGGTTTTGACTTCTTTGAATGCTTAACATGCCTCAACAGACCCTCTACAAGCGTGTGGAAGTGCCCTCGCTGATTCTTTTCTGGCACATTATGGACTACTGCTTTTCTAAGCTTCTCAAATGCTTGTTCTCCATGAGCCTCGTTCATTCTCATTTGATGAAGGATCTTTCCTCCACGAGTCATCCTGGTTTGACCATCACCAGGATCGTCTTCATCATCCTTATGGTGGTGGTGATGGTGGTGGTGGTGGTGGTGGTGGTGGAAGATGATAGCTAGCTTATCTTTCAGTTTCTTCAGCCGTCCAATCTGTTTCTCAGGTTTTGTCCAATTGGATGGTTTGTAGTTTTTGTTCTGGACCATCTTTCGTGATGCGAACCCCGCTGACAAGTAGGTGGGACCCAATTGGTGATGCTTCCTCATCTGATTGGACGTAGTGTACTCGCTCTCGCTACTACTAGTGGAACCTTCTTGATGAGCCCAAGGCCGAACCCTAGCCGTACTTGCTTGTGAGTAGCTACCACTCTCACTACTATTTGAAGCACCCACATAATGGCCCCCCTGCTTACTTGGCAGAGAGTACACCTCAATCTCACTATCACTTGAAGGACCCACGTAACTGCTCCCTGCACTACTTGGTAGCGAATACATCTCATTCTCACCGCTGGTGGAGGGACTTTTGCTCTCACCTCTATAGTGCTGACTCCGTTGCTGACCTGGCAATGGATACTCTTCACTCTCACTACTACAGGAGTTAGCTTGCTGACTTGTCCTGCCTGAGGAGTATGACCTTGTAGTTGTTCCCTCTGATTCTTGCAGATATGGCAACATCTTTTTCCGCAGGCCCAAATGCTTATTATTCTTATGCACTCCACCTCGCACATCATCCGTCTGATCCTTGTACAAAGTTGAAGAAGCAAGAATATGTCTAGGCTTGTAATCTAGCAGACTTGGCCTCATGATCATCTGATGTGGTAAACTTTTTTCACTCCGAGTACCCCTGGTCCGGGACTGACGCAGCCTGTGACCAGCTTCATTTGCATGAGTTTTACTATTGGGCCGCACCATACCTGTGGACCCCACAGAAGGCATGGCGGATTGGAATGCACCTGCCTTCTTCATCGTCTCCTGCAGCAAAATTTGATTTGGATCCACATTTTCGTTGTTAATCTGAATCGGCCACTTAGCAGGCAAGAGTGGAGCCACATTGGCCATCATGCTCCGTCCTGGTGAGATCCTGAAACCCTGAACGAAATTATGAGCCTTCCGTGGTGTATGATCATTCTGACTTGTTCGTACCCTATTCAATGATTCCATTCTCTCCACAATGGACTTGACATTCTGGCCATGAACCTGACTCACTTTATGCCAAGGCAACTTGTGTTGTTCAGTGGGCTTCCCCGCCTGGCTCAATGTATCGTGGAGTAAAGCAATGCCTCTGTTTTCCTCATTTTGACTAGTTAATCGACTCAATAGAGCAGTATTTGGTGGAAGCGGCTTGGAAGTCAGACTGGTTGTACGATTTGGCAGGGTCATCTCTGTGAATTGACTTGCCATATGACTGATTTCCTGATGCAACTGATTTGAATCCTTTGGTACCTGAAATGTTCGACTCACCAGTTTACTCATCGAGTCATTTCTGTCCACAAGTCTGCCAGGCTGATTCAGCTTCTGCATTTGGGGACTGCCAAAAATAGAACTGGTGATCTTCTGAGACAATCCATGTTGAGCTGCACTCTTCTCTGATTGGTCCACATTCTCAGCAGCTAGCTTCAAAGCCAATATGTCGATTTTTTTTATCATATTAGAAGCTCCTTTGGAAATGTCATCAGCTGTTTTGGATTTATCCATGTTTTCTTCGGTAAAATTACATATAGCTCCTGCTTCAATAACGCCAGTCCCCGGACTGTTGGATGAACAAGCTGAATTTCCAATGCCACTCAGGTTAGCCTGAATTTCATAAATGCTCTTCTGCCTTTGCTTATCAATGCTTCTTGCAGACTGAAGAGCTTTATTACTGAAATCTAGTCCCTTCTCCAACCCATTATCCCAAGGAAGTTGAACAGATGGATTATGTTGCTCATTCTGAGGACTGATATCTTTGGTTTGCCTATAGGTTTCCTCATCAAAAACTTTAGTTTTCTCAGTAGAGTTCAGCTGCTTTATGCTTGGGCGGTGGCAAACCCTGCAACGTTTTCTCCTGTGTTCAAGTCTGCTTGTTCCAATGCTCAGTTTTGACCACTCTGAAGCAGCCCCCTGATTTGTTGGCTTAGTATGGGTCTGTTCATCATTTGAAAAAGCTATTTTCTGAGAATTCAAATCTTTATTGAAGCTTTCAACAACACTCGACAAAGTTTCTGTTACAACTGGCAGAACAGGAGGATTTTGCTTCAGTATATCTTTGGGGGGTGGTTGTTGAGTGAAGTAAGGTTTAGAAGATACATCCAATTGTACTGGTATGACCTGTGGCTACAAATGCATCAAATCCAAACGTCATACAAAGAAATATACCCTGGTTGTCACAATATAAGGTGAAATTGGATCGTAATTATCCTAGTGTATTATGGTTCCTCTTTAAAGATTACTGCTTTCAAATTCAATTCAAATGTCCTCTTTTTTCCATGGGGCAAGTACAACCAATTTAAATTCAAGAGCAACACATAAAAACTTAGTAGTGTACCTCAGACAGAGCCTTAAATACCCTGTCAGTAGCAATATCCAGTAAATTCTTCAACAGGAGCCGTGCTTTCTCATCCAACTGTTTAAAAACCAAAACCGCATAAACACGAGTACATCAGATCATGTAAAGCATTTAAATGGCATTTGGCCAGCTAAACTAGTAAAGACCAACCTACTTCCAATTAGCATATAGATTTTCAAAAGAAAAAGAAACACATAATTCCAATCACATGTAACATACATTCAGGTGTTTGCACCTCCCTTATTATTATGATAATCACTGTAATTTTTTCTTTGAGAGCCATGTGGGGTGGGGAAAGGGGGTCGCAATTCCGTTCTCCTCATATAAAAGCGACAATCAAATTTTAAAGGTAAAATTGCACTTTTTACCTCCTCTACTATTGAGTTTTCCCCTCAACCACTTAAATTGGTTTCATATTGCCCCATCCCCATATGTCTGTTATGATTTAGACAAAAAATGGCAGCATTTCACTAGAGTTCAAGATAAAGTGAAATAAAATCGCGGATATAGTGGGGACAAAATTTCATAATTTTCCATCCAGTTGTATGTAATGGACATCTACAATTGGGGCGGGAATGTCAAACGATAATCCAAGTTTGGGATGGAAATGAACAAAAAAATATGGAAATACTAGGAAAAATAAATTTTAAATGATTAGAGAGAGACAGAGAGAGAACGGATTCATAAAGAAAAATAATTCACAGAAGTGTTTCAACTACAAAAAACTCAATGGCCAGGCTGTTTATCATGACCTCCTGCAGGGGTCAATTTTGAGATATAAATTCACAGCAGATAAGCATCAAGCAACATAGAAATCCCAGTGGGAAAATATAATTACAAATTGAACTTTTAACCGCAAAGGATGGAAAACATTATTTCTAAGGCAACACGAGGTGAAGCCTTCTACCATCCTGAGAACCAATGCAGAAGGATTATAAAGTATATGAAAACTCATCATCTATTTACTATGCAACATATGCTTGTGTGTGTGTGTGTGAGAGAGAGAGAGAGAGAGAGAGAGAGGGGGGGGGTTTGACCATTCCAAGTTTGTCAAACAATTTACCTGTGACAAGTTTGTTAGGTTACACTATCCAATGATGAAAATATGTGCATTAATGATGACACATTCAAATGACAAGATATGCCAAAGACATTGGAAATAACTTCTCATGTAGGCCAATGCCCCCACCACATTAGTACATTGACCATAGAAATTGCATAAAAATGGAGGTGTTGATGGAGATACAATTAAAGAACTCTCAGTGTTAACTCATGATAGGAGCCCCTACGTGCTGTTAGTATACGTCACATAGAAGCCTCAAGACACCACTAAAGGGACCCATGTTCACTTCCCTGGTTTAGTCACGAGGCTTAAAGTAAAAGGCCATGAAGCTGCAAGTGATTTAAGGCTATTCCTTTGAGCAACTGACACAAGCTTGATTCCTTTCAAAACTCGATCCCCAGCTAGAGACACAGCATGGTAAAAAAATTATATTTTCTCTCTTTTAGTTCTTCATTTCATTTCCATAGCATACGACAACAAGGTATTGAGTGATACATAGTTCTTTCCCCACCCAAAAAAGAAAGAAAGAAAAATTGATTAGGTATAAAATGGCAGTTTTGCAAAGAAAAGGTAGGCATGTCCCCTGCGCTCTGACATAGCAAAAGTTTCCAGCCACTCTAGGCATAAATTTGTATAGCTTACTCTCATAGAGGTGCACATGAATGTGAGATTATAAGTGATCACACAGCTACGAAGACTTACATTTTCAGAGCTCGTATTCTGCAAACCATCTCCATCATTTTGTAAAAGCCCATACAATTTCCTTAAGGATTGAAGATCTGATCGTTTATCATTAGCATCCATTTCATCTACTGCCTGAAAATTTAAAAAAATTTCAGAAATAGATATGTATTAGATATTTAGATACTATACCTATGGGCCTTTAGTCCAATAGTACTTCTTATCTTATGAAGGTTTTGCAGGTCAAGGGATCAAGTCCCCCTCTCCAAATTTTAAAAAAAAAAAAAAAGATATTTAGATACTATAATGCCATAACTTCAAGTGTGGAAAGAAACTTGCAATTTCTCTATAATAATCTTCCATGAAACAAAAAATTGCCGCATAAGATAATTTTTGTGAGAAAGAATCCAAAACTTTACAACAAGAAAAATACAAGACTACCTATAAGGCTTTAGACAAGAGGAATAATAAATATGATATCAACACACCCTCCCTCAAACTTGTGATCTGATGGTAAGAAGCTTTAAGAGTTTGCTAAGGCGAAAATGAAAAAGCAACATGGTGTGAGATTTCGCAAAGAAGTCAACCTACTGTATAGCAAAAGCAACAAAAGGAAATGAAATAGTCCCAGTTTAGTTATCTATCTGTTTCAGTTGAGTTTGAAAGCCCACATGCAAGTTAGGATTGCAAGTGAAAGAGTGTGGAAAAAGGGATTGTATGACACATTGAAATATTGGCTATACCCACGTACCCATATTGGTTTATATAGTTGAGGGCCTACTCTCCCATTGACAATTGGTTATAGGTAGATGCTCTAATATAGATCAAGCACAAACTACTGAAATAGCACACTTAGTGTTCCACTTCATACATAAGCAATCTACACTAGCATATGAAGGACTGAACCAAGACAAGGCACTCTAGGGTACACAATAACAGGTAACTGCAAACATGACTCATTGATCAACATCATCTACAGATTAAAAATTTGTACTCGATGCCACCCATAAATCATAGGAGAAAAGAAAAGCTAAATATATATATATATAAATGCCGCAAGGAAAATATGAGCCTTATGTTAGAAAATGCAGTTCATGCTCATGATCATGTTATTCATGCCAATTTCAAGCAAACAAAAACACAATGGCACAGACTGAGGTCTCAATCAGCACAATGTATCTAGCCATATCAAAGTTATATTGCTACACCCATTATGAAGCATTCTGTGGAAAATGTGGCAATGGACAAAAAAAGTTATGGCAAGGCTCTATAGACGGAATCATGAAAAAAATGCATTGCGCACAAAAGATCTACAGAGAAGACTCTAAATAGTACAAAGGAATTAGAAGAAGTATCTAATCAATGTCATGCACCATCCTATATTATGATATCTTTTTTACTCTCTCTTGTACATTTTGCATAATTATGATTTCTTTATATCTTGTTATTGCTGTAATCCATTCATATACTCTCTCGTCTAACGAATTCCCAACTCTGTATCATTGACCCACAAAAGCAATCACAGAGACCAAACTTCTTACCATTAAGATCACAGGCCACTAGAAACCCTTTTTCCTCCCAAACATGCACTTAATATTGTTGGTGGTGGCCCCGAGAGGGAGAAGACAGGTCGCCGGAGATGACGGTGCAGAGAGAGAGAGGAGAGAGAAGAGAGGGATCGGAGGGGGTTGGGAACGATATTTGGTAATATAACAATAATAAATAGAAATGTAGGAACTGTATTTAGCCTCCAAACCCTCTCATAGTACCTGCAGTTGGAGTAAATATATGGCGTAAGCGAGTTTCAGGCTGCTGAAACAGCCGTGCATTTGGAGTAACTGTACACCGTGTAACTGAACATCCCTCCGTTATAAACCGTGCCTAAAGGCACTTTACAACTTAAAGAAAATTGAAATCAATCTAACTCCTGCTATTTTTTCAAAAAATTTCGACAAAATTTCATTTGAAAATAGGAACTCAGGGAAATATAAACATGTCTACAGCGACATCAATTGCATCATTACTCAACTTGACTCACAGTCAACATCAAACTTTACTCGCTACGCAAATCTAAACTAAAATAACATTTTATCATAATAACAAAATTCATAGTTACAGTAACAGTTACATGTTACACACATAAGTCCAACCAATGAACAAAAATTCGTTGTTTACAATCATACATAACGATTATCATTGTTCACAATCACAATTGACTTCTATTGCCCCCAAAATCACAATTCCAAACCCAACCGCAAAACGGCCATCAATTCCCATGAAACCAAACATAGCACCATGTGTGATTAGTTTACACTAAACATGGAACAAACATAACAATGGCAAACTGGACACACACAAAACACGTGTGCAAAGAGAAACAACTCTCTTCAACTTCATATTCTTTAGATCTAAGAGAGACCACCAAAAATTGCTAATAACAACCACCACACAATTGTATGATTGGATCAAGGAATTTAATGTCTTCTAGATGTGAAGTCATCGAAAAAATAAGAAAACCATGTATTTAAAGAAAACATGCCCCAAAACCATGCATTTCAAGAAAAACATGTATTTAAAAAAAATATGCCCTAAATCAATTATCAATCTCACTATCACACCACAGTTTGCATAACCATTTTCCAATTATTGACTCATCATAAAAATAAAAACAATACACTCAAATTCAACTTTATCCATCTAGCACTTCATAGTCAACTTAACACCCACACCAGCCACACACATCCATATGTATATGTATTTAGCAAATTCAACATAAAAAATTAATTAACATTTAGTTACACTCCATATAAGAATTACTACAACAAAATTCAAAACTCATCAAACCTAAACAATATGGCAAAAACTGAAGAGAAAAATTGCATGGCAAAAGCTAAAGAGCTTTAATAAACATAAAGAGTAATAGGAATAACAAATTCAAAGTAATTGAAAGTCACCAAATCCATACAAAAAAGTTAAAATTAAACAAAAAAATATATCTAGAAACCCCAAATATTACTTATTAGTGAGTGGGAATCCAAGAGCACCATCAAACTCGGGTGAAAATTGCATGCATTAGACAAAGTATTTTTGGTAGATTTAATTCGTCAATGTTACATGTACAAGTACAGACTAATAAATGCTGACATGACAATAGCACTACACTCAGTAGAGATGTAAAAATGTTGACACAGCGACAAAGTAACACCCACATAAATGTCGAAACGGCAACAACACCACTGAGGCGATTTGCTTTCGTGGTGACCAAGAGGAAAAGGAGGAGGAATTAATCCATGGACTCAATTGAGTAGAGGTTCTCTACTCTCAAGTCCAAATAATAAAACTCTAACATACAGTTCTACCAAATACAAAACTTACACAGTAGATCTATTCACTAACGAAAATTATATCTCAAAAAAAATATAAAAAAAATGCATAAACTATGGGGGAAGATAGTAAGATAAGTACTGGTTGGTTAGAATTTAAGAAGTAACTTTTAAACGTCAAAAGTTGGATTATCTGGATTATCACAATAAATCAAACCCATCACATAAAACTAAAATCAAATAACACATAACATTTCAAAATATAGTTGGAGAGAGAACTAGGTTTTTTTTTTTTTTTTTTTTTTTGGGGGGGCGGGGGTTGGGGGGGCTTAGGGCAACGAGTGTTTATTGATCTTAAACAAAAAAATAGCAATATTTTGTGATCTGTGGCTAGGAACCATATGTTATGCATACCTTCTTCTTAACTATCTAAGGCCAAACTTGATTTATGCTTTCTAGTTTCTACCCAAGCTACTCAATGACATCATTGAGATAAATACACAACTAATTACATTTAGACAAAGCCCGTGGCTAGAGCACTTACTTCAGCATTCAAAAGCTAGGAATTTGTTAGCCATTTGTTTTACTGTCATTAACCTACAACAAAATCCACCAAGAAAATTAGTTGGTCGGCAACACCAACAGGTGATAATTACACGATTTAACAGCACACAATAATCACAAAAATACCAATTAATTAAAACTTTCTGTAGCCGATTTTGGATTTTATAAAAAATCAGGGCTTTTCTCCATGGGTCTCTACAATCAAGTAAATTCATGATGTAACAACAATTTAACCTTTATCCAATTAAAATATCTATCAACATCATATAAATTCAAACTATTATACACCAATTTCGAAAACTCTAGCATTCAATTTCTTACAAAACATAACCACCCAATTTTGAAAATGTAGCATTCAATTACCTAAAAAAACACCCAATTTAATACCTAATTTGAAAAAAATCATAGAAAACACTAGAAAAATGTGTGTTTGCTATGTGTGAATGTCAATGTGTGTGTGAGTGTGATCTGCTGGTTTTTGTGTGCGTGATGTGCGACTGGTGTGTGTGCGCGATGGGGGGGGGGGTGCGCTATGGGTGTGTGTGTGTTATATGTGGGATGTGGATGGCAACGTGTGTGATATTTGTGCGCTGGTGCGTGCGTGTGTGTTCTGGTGTGTGTGGGAGTAGTGAGACAGGGAGGGTGATGCGTGTGTCGTGAGAGAGAGAGAGGAGATACCAGCGTCACGACAGAGAAGCCATGGCAGAGCGAGCGGAGAGAGAGGAGGAGAAACGACCCCTGATCTCGGAAAAAGGTCGCATACCTGGCTTGGGCAGTTAGGCTGTGTGTTAGACCGGCGCGTGGGTGCAGTTAAATTAGGCGGGGATTTTATTTTTGTTTGGACGTGTCGTAAGTAATTAGATTAAGTTTGAGGAATTTAGATAAAATTTAGATCATCTAATTTAAAATAAATCTAATTTTAAAGAGGTGAAAAAGATTCAAATTCACCTCAATCTTAGATAGATATAATATATATCATTGACACTTTTTATAGTTTTGAGTAATGTTTTACTGATCAAATTACTTATTAAATGTTGTATCATAAATTAATATAGGTGGTTGAATTAGTGGGATCTACTAACTTCATAAAATATTTATTGCATGAGATTTTGACGCATCACTTAGAATACAATATTTGATAAACAATTTTGGACAACACGGTTTTATCTTATAGTTTATATTTAACATCACTGACACTCATTACCATTAAACTACTATTTATAAAAATAATAATAATAATAAGTTATATAAAATATTATTCTTACATAAACCCTAAATAATCTTTCTACATAAAATTAGATTAAAATTCAAGTCGATTAAATTTCGAGCTAATTAAAATTTTTTTTTTACATATTAAAATTTAAGTCGACTAAAATTTGATGTCAGCTGATTAAATATTTTTTTATGTATAAAAATTTGAATCTATTAAAAGTCTTTTTTTACGTATTAAAATTTTAGTCAATTTGAGTTTTACTTGAGCTATTAGCCTCAATTAAAAGAGTCAATTAAAATTTATATTTTTATTTATTAAAAATTGATTCAGTTGATTAAAATTTATTTTTTACGTATTAAAATTTAAGTCAATTAAAATTTATATTTTTGTATGTATCAAAATTCGGCCCGGTTAAAATTTAATGAGAGATGATTAAACGACATTGTAAAAAAATTTAGAAAAATAAAGAAGGTCTCATTAAAAATAGATTCTAAAATATATCATACACAGTTTAGTAAAATTATATTTTAATTAATACTTTTAATATGATAGAGATTCGTGTAACGCCCCAAAATCCCCCTTGAACGACATTACAATCTAAAAATCATTCACAACACGAGAGCAGCTAATAATATCCATAATTAAAATAATTGCATTCATCATCTACAATATCTACAGCGTTGTCTAAAAGAATATGCTGAACTATGACATCTACCTCCCAAAAGAATCAAGTTTAAACTTTGCATCAGAATAATAAAAGATTAATCTTTACATAATCTCAAAATAATTTTCTAGTCTAATACCTAGGAAAGTGTCACCCTAGACGTTCACCTCGGGATCCACGAGCCCATCTAGTGGAGCTTCTCAATGTATCGGCTTCTCAACTCCGAGTTCCTCGTCTAGACCACAATCTGAAAAATATATAGTTTTTAAGGGGTGAGTACTAAATTTTGTAGCAACATTCTCCCAATCTCGAACAAGATTTAGAAAACATATAAAACAGTTTGGTCTCGTTTTTGAAAATAGCATATATAACTTGAAATAAAACAGTGATTATTTATTTGATATCAAGTATACACACTCGCAATAATTTAAATGAAAGGAACAAACATGTCGGAGCGATAGAAATCAACGAATCATTCAATAGCATCATCCCATATTCTCAATGTTTGTTGGTTGTTTCTCATGAATCTACACCAAAATTCTACCTCTTCACCCACCACAATCACACAATTTCAAACATTTTAGGAATGATGTATACCTTCTCTCACGGCATTGACGAATCCTTCTCAGGAAAGGTATACCAACCCTTAGCCTCTAACTTACGTGAACAATAATGATTGTTCTTACAAACAATAAATCACTAAAAGTGTTAGGAAACCATCTCACCTCCATTGGGATAGACTAACCTCTAACACTCTACGGCAGTGCTCGAATGTAATTCAAGTTCATCACAACAACCATACAAGATATGCAATAACAAACATTTTCTCAAATCACAAGGAAATCTAAAATTTTTAAATTTCACAATTTGTAATACAAGAGAACAATTTAAGAAAATAAGTAAGAGATCATCACAATATCATTTTACTACTCAACACAAAGCACTAAGATTTCAAAATCAAGAATCAAGAGGAAAATTCATCTCTCTTAAAAACTAGGGTTTTAAAATCAAGAAAAGAAATTTCATCGGTATTCAACTCTAATTTTGTTTAAAACATGATAATAA